GAGGCCACCTGAACATTGATTTGTATTTTTCCTTTCTATTTTAAAGCCCAAAGCAGTAATTTATCCGTGTTAGGAATGAAAACAAGACCTTGGAAGTTTGTTAGATTTGGCCCGCAATGCGCCATGATTACCTGCACTTTTCGAGCGCGATTTTAAGAAGAAAACCCGTCTTTCTAGGACCCCTGAAGTCCTCTGAAAATATGTTCAGAAAGTCCATTCTGATTGATTTATTTGTCCTCAAGAACAATAGAACAATAGGAGAACCAAAAAGTCTTCAGGGAGGGTAGGAAAGGCAATTCTCCCATGTGCTTTTTGCCGGGCAGTTACCGGCGGCACAGGGAGATGGAGGAGTTTTTCACACGGGCGGTTACAGGCGGCACAGGCGTCAATGGGTTAATTAATTAATTTCAATCAATTAATTAGGTTTGCAGCAAGGGGGGTAGGTTGGGGTAGGTACCTAGGAGCACTATGAAAAATGGGTGGTATATGTACCTACGTTACTTCTTTGATCACTTCAAAAAGCTATGTACTTGTTTCAGAAAACCCCTTGCTCTCCTTGTGGTACTTTTGTCTTTAGAACAAAACCAATATGTGACCTTACACAGGAAAATGTACATTATGCCTAAAGAGGTATCCATTAAGAACATCTAAGCAGCTGTTAAAACGGTAAAAGTGATCCGTTAGAGAAATCTGGAAATGCAAAAGCAATCCGTAAAGAAATCTTTGAATTCGTTTTAACATGAAGCCTATCTTGTATCCGTTTAGAAAGTCTTGGAACCATTAAAAAAACGTTTTAAGAGCCAGTGCCCATAACTATGGACCAAACAACGGCACAAGTTGAAAAATCAATTTTGCTCATTTTTTGCCCATAGATTGGCCCTAGCTAGTAAACAAACGGACCATAGTTAGTTTCTGCTAATGCAGCTTTTTTGGGGTGAAATGTGTGAAAAACGATTTTTTTCTGATTGGGCTCAAAGTCCACTTCGGTTTTGCTGAATTTTCCGAATATTTGATTGCTTCGCGCTCCGCAGAACAGCTACTTGAGAATTTTTCAATGGTTTTTACATTCAGCTCAGGTCTTCATGATATGACAGAGCGAAAAATAAAATAAATTGAGGTTTCGTTTGAGCCCGAAACAAGATCGAACAGAAACGCAAAATATTACAATGTGTTGCAAACGAATTATAGCACTAAAATATCGCCATATTNACCTTTCTCCATCAACCCCTGTTTGCATCCCCAACCTGGCTCAAGAGCTTATGGATCACCCTGACCGTCAATTTGCTTCAGATCTAGTCTATGATCTCCAGTTTGGCTGTTGCCTTGGCTGTAAGGGTCCACACTAACACAGAATCACCCCGAATTTAAAATCTACTCTCCTTCACCCCAATGCAGTCACTGAGGTGCTGATGAAAGAGGTTAGTAGAGGCCACACAGCAGGCCCCTTCTCATCTCCTCCCCTTCCAACCCTTCAGTGCTCACCTTTAGGCCTTGTTCCCAAAAAGGATGGCTCCTGGCGTATTATCATGGATCTCTCTTCCCCTCGTGGTTCGTCCATCAACGATTTTATCTCTAAAGAGGATTACACCTCACACTATACTACCTTTGATCACGCCCTAGCCTTAGTATCCTCATTTGGCACTGGTGCTCTCATGGCTAAGCTTGACCTTGAGCATGCTTTTCATCTCTGTCCTGTGTCCCCCAGTGACTGGGACTTCCTTAGCATGCACTGGCAAGGCAAATTCTATGTGGATCTCCGCCTGCCTTTTGGGCTCCGTTCCTCGCCGTTCCTATTTAACCGTTTAACTGATGCCTTTGAGTGGATACTTAAGCACAATTACGCTATCTCTGCCCTCATGTACTACCTCGATGATTACTTAACCGTAGGTCCTCCATCGTCACCACTATGCGCATCTCAAGTCGACTTCATGGTTAAAACTGCTGACCACCTGGGCATTCCCTTGGCCCCCAACAAGCTGGAGGGTCCAACCTCTCGTCTGGTGTTCCTTGGCATATTGATTGATTCCAATCTCATGGAATGCTCCTTACCTCCTGATAAACTCTCAGAGCTCATGACTGAACTTCATACCTGGTCTTCTCAGAAAAAGTGTGTTAAAAGAGAACTTCTCTCCCTTATTGGTAAACTTAACTTAGCCTGTCAAATCATCCCAGCTTGTCACATATTCCTACAGTGCTTGATTGACCCTTTTGGTCAAGATCTCCTGATCTTGAGCTCTTCACCAATGTATCTGGAGGTTTTGGTTTTGGCATCTACTTTCAAGGTCAATGGCTGAACAGTTCCTGGCCCTCCAACCTGTCTGATCGCTCCATCCAGTGGAAGGAGCTCTACCCCATAGCTCTTGCCTGCCTCCTGTGGGGTCCACTTTGGAGGGGAAAGAAACTGCTATTCCACTGTGATAACCAATCAGTCATGGACATTTGGGCAAAGGGTTCTTCTCATGACACCCTCCTTATGCACCTTGTTCATTCAATCTTCTTTTGCGCTGCATCCCACCAATTCTCCGTTTTTGTCTCTCACATTCAAGGTACAGACAATTCAATTGCTGATGCTTTGTCCCATTTTCAGATGCTCCAGTTCCGTCAACTCACCCAGCAGGCAGATTTGGAACCCACGACTCTGCCTCCCTCAGCGCCGAACCTCTGGTAGGTCGCCTAGCCTTTCTGCAGTTCCAAACCATTGCACCTTCCACACGTCGCACCTACTATGCTGGAATTCGCAGGTATACTACCTTTCGTTGTTCAAGGCAATGGAACCCCTTCCCTGCATCAGAGTTACAACTATGTTATTTTGCCTCTTGAGTCTCTGATCAAGTCAGCTTCCCAACCATTAAGCTGTATCTGGCTGGTATCCGGTTTGCCCACATCAAAAACAGCCTTGCAGACCCGTTTGCAGATGCCCCCTTCGTTGTTTACTTCTACGAGGCATCAAACAGACAATTGGACTCTCCTCTTGCCACCGTCTACCTTTCACCATGTCAGTCATGCGCCAGCTAGAAGGAGCTTTGGCAGATGACCCTCAAATCGCATCGCAGGACAAACTCATGCTCTGGTCAGCCTTTACTCTGGCCTTCTTTGCCTTCTTACGTTCGAGCAAGTTCACCTCACCATCTTCAGTTCACTTCAACCCGCTGGTACACCTGTCCTGCTCAGATATCAGTTTTACCTCTGCAGGCTCCTTATCATTGCAACTAAAATCATCCAAAACTGATCCCTTCCGCATGGGCTGTTCCATTATGATCGTTCCTTCTGGCCGTTCAGTCTGTGCAGTACAGGCAATGCGCCGTTACCTGGCTCACCAGCTTTCAGGCAATTCCACCCCGCTTTATTTCTTCTCAACAGGGCAATTTCTCACCAGGGACAAAGTAACCTCAATTCTGCGCCTCCAGTTTCAATGCTTGGGTTTTGCCACAGAGTCCTATGCATCCCACAGTTTCCAAATTGGGGCTGCAACTACTGCTGCAGAGGCCAGCTTGCCCCCTTGGCTTATCCAAACCCTTGGCCGTTGGTCCACCAATTGCTACAGCCAATACATCAGGACACCTGCTTCAATACTCCAAGCTAGCCGCCACCCATAGTACTCCACTACAAACTTTGGATCAAACCACAGGACAATGTAGACCTTGTTAAAGTTGCACTAATATTTGTCACTAGGTACCTGGCAGTATTTGGGGCATAATTTGGGTGCACACCTTCCACTTAGCTATCGCCTGTGTCAAGCTGAGTGGGTCCCTTACCCCACCTTATTCTTAGCTACCTAAGCAGCTAGGTTGGGGAGCTTCGTTCTCTGGGTGAGTGCACTATCACCCCAATTCATTCACTGGGTGTGTCCATCAACTGCCCAAGTTTCTGCTTTGGGGTTTGTGTCTGCTAACCGCCCCACGTTGTGTTGATGCTTTGGGGTTTGAGTCTGCTAACCGCTCCACTTTGTTTGTAGGGTGTGTCCGCTAACCACCCAATTACCTGTCCAGGGTGTGTCGCTACCACCCACTCTCGCTGCTATCCCAGGGAGCACCCAGTGTCCATGGTCCCATTTACTGCCAGATTTGTCTTGTTTTTTTTGTTCATACAATATTATTAGAGAACGAGTTGTTGTTAATTAATCATTGTAACATGACTTGGAAGGAACTCAGTATAGATAGAATACCTGCTTTCTTCTGGCTTTCTCCATATCATCTAAAGTTGGATCATTTTCAATGGACAAAAGCTGTTTTCTTAGGTAGGCCTGGAATCAAAAATAGTTTTATGGAAACCGTGAAATAAACATTTGCTATCATAAAATAATTTGATATATGCTCTTAAATATCTAATGGTGTCTAGAGCCTTCAGACAAGCAAAATTATTAAGAATGCTGACAATGCAGACATTCAAGTAAAACAACAACTTTGATTTAACAATTGCTAGAAATCTGTCACAGTTATTGGGGTAATTTGGTTCTTTCTCCCCCCCATGGTGACAGAAACAATCCAAGTATTATTGTTTACACAACCAAACTGCTTTTAACAGTGGTCTTGTTTGGAGTAGTAATAATAGACAATTGGACTGAACCCTTGAACTACTGTTATTCTTTTAATTGCAAGCTTTCGCTGATCTGCGGCATCATCAGGGAATGTAAAGAAAATAATCCACTGTGTGCAATATAAAAAGAATGGAAATAGAAATTATCACTCCTGGAAAGTAGACAGTTGTGGAGTAACTTTAACATAAAAAGTGTGAATTATGCATTTTCCCAATAAAGCAATACCTGAATAAAATAATAGTTTCTCTACTGACCTGCTGTTCATCTTCTCTACTCCCACTTCGTTCAGAACGCTCCGAGCCAGGTGCTTTTGGATACATACTACAAGGAGTGGATGGTTCACTTGAGTATGACCCTCCTGATGATGTTGACATGGATCGTGTGGGCTTGCTGATTGACTGTGCTAAACTTGATACCAAACCAACTCCATTATCAACAGGACTAAGAGGTGATGAAGGCATTGAATAAAACTGAACAAACAGGACAAAACAAACTGTAGTTAGTTGAAAACGTTTCTAGTCACTCTACAAACAATAGGTAAGTTTCTGTCATGCAAACTACGACTCCGAGTAACAGAGCGACAGGCTATGTCATTCCCTGTCTTATGAAGGAGGATAGTAATTCCAGTGGTTAGTGATGCCAATCACAGTAGCAGAGAGTAAACAATAATTCTATATTTATGCCTTCCAACACACATCTTGAAATATTCCAGGCTCCTCTCCTTGACCAATACTGGGGGGTGGAGAGACTTTTGATCAAGATAATGAAATCAAAACAGTTTTGTGTTTATCTTTTAATGAGTGCTTATCCCAAACTGATCATGAGAACCATCCCATCTCTACCATGAGTGCTTCTGGTACCATTGGATGCATAAGGCCTTACTGCCAAGTCTATAACACCTTATCTATTCAGAAAAGACCTTTCCAAGGCTTGTGCAAGCAGTGGATATTCCCCACTATGACTGTGTGTTAAAGTTACATACCTGGCTAAAACTTTGTTCACCATTAGCTTCTCTGGAGGCAACTGTGTCCTCTGCAGAAAATGAAAATTTTCTCAAAACTGTCTTCAATATGCATACTGTGTCCTCTGCATTAAGTGAAATTATCAAAAATACCTTCAATATATTCATTGGGCATTTGATTCAGCTGACTTGACATTATTGAAGAAATTTCCTTCCTACACCAATTCAAGAACCCCAAACTGCCAGAGGATAGTTTCAGTGCAGTGGTCACTAAAGCTAATTTTGTTGACCAATAAGGCCACGAGTGTACAGAAAAAGATTTACTCATATTATAAAGTAGGGCAAAATGCACATGGAGTTGAATCATCAACAAATACTTACGATCTACGTGAGCAAAAGCACAGAAGGGTCCTCTGGGGCAGTATCCAGTCTGTTGCATATCATTACACTTTGTTGACTTGTATATCTGGCAAACGAACACAACAATAGACACACACTGAAATAACTCAGCATAATGAAGACTAAAGAAACAAACCAGTGGGGCCAGAAATTACCAGTATACATAAAGAACAGGACACCTATATGTAAGTCAACTACAGGTATAATATGTCTAAAAGTGTTTGAACAAGGAAATTGAATTTCTCAGCATCTTTTATTTCCTGCACAGTGGTTATTGTGTTTTGAATTAAGTCAGAGTTAGATTCTCTCAAGTAAACACATTCTGCTTAAAAAGGACAACCATGTCAAATTGTCATTTTGTCATCTCATATGATGACATTAAATGTCAGGTGCAAAAATCTTGTGGAAGTATTGCTCTGACTTTAAACAAACACTCACAGTTCTTTTTTGGGGATAGAGAATGACTTTTTTATTTTAGCTTACTAACCAAATGGCTAGTGACTGCTTTAGTCAACAAAAATTTTTTATCCGCCAAAACTGTCATATATTTTCGTTTTACCAACAAGGAACTGGAAAATAGTCAAGTCATTTTAACTACTGAATTTGCAGAATCTGAGAAATATTTTAAATCTTGCTGTATTCAGAAATTATCAAGAATGTTCCTCACTCACTCATTGTATATTAACATGAATTCCTAAGGAGCATTATCATGGGGTATCTAATGGTAGAATGTATGAAAACAGATAACTTTACAAACAACAGAAGAAAAATCAACATATTTGATTTGTTTATGAGTTATTTTAAATAAATTTGATCATTTTAATGTTGCACAATAACTTTGGTAGTTACAGTCTACTGCTTTTATTCTCTGATGTTAGTTATGAATATTTATCAAAGGTGTACATTACCAGAACCTTGCTAGTCAGATACTGTTAGTTGCAAGTCCTGCAGTTTACTCAACATAACATTTCAAGACCTAAGCTTGACAATGCTGCATACCTCAGGATGAAATTGCTGCTCTGTTCTTGTATGACAATATGGGCAATTATCTCCACTCTCACAATTTGTTGGCTCACCCCATTCATCACCATGCTTAACATGAGGACAAGGAGTTGATCTGCAAATGACATAAAGCAAATTGAAGAAAAACACTGAACTTAAAAAGCAATCAGCTTTTAATGGAATTCTCTAAACACTTGACCAATAAGCCTGAGTTTCTATGAGCAAATAGACTGGATACTGCTGAGACTATTACTCCTAGAAAATAAAAACAAGTCTCTTACTAATCAGACAATTATTACCTTAGTACACACTATGTGAGATAACAGTCAGAAACCTAAAAGCAATCATGTTTCATCACTGAATATACAACAACCAAGAAGCCAAAATTATTCACAGATTTTTCAGCAGGACATGTTGAGTGTCTACAAACAGATATAAACTATTTCATGTCTTGACAGTGTACAAAACAAACCCATATTTTTTGTTCAAATTTAAGAACTGGTCATGGCACTTAACCTGTTATGGGACTCAAACTGGGTAGTTTGTTTCAAGGTATTCAAAATGGTGTCCCCTTTACTTCGCACCCAAATGTGACTTTCTCTTATCACGATCACAAAATTTAAGCACACACTTTTACATAATGCCTGAATTTGCGCCACTTTTTGAAGCCAAGCAATCTCATTGTTCAAGCACAGAACGAAACAGTTCTTAAGAATTTTGCAAGATTTTTTGTCAATTTAGTGGTTATCATATGGAAACAAGAAAGCATTTATGAAGTGTTTGAACAGAGACAACAGATATCAAGATATTAGTACAATACAATTTATAAACACTTCGAATATTGATCAACAGCTAGTGTATAATGAAGAAAGGAGTGAATATTTATACAGAGGACATTCTTAAACATCTAAAATAGATGATGAATATAGAGCATATCTCCCCATTTTTTTATTTAGGCCCCACTGTTAAAATTCAATGCAGATAATATGTAAAATTACACCTTGTTTTTCATTTTAGTGTGTGGTTGGTGTTGCTGTAAATTGTTAAAAAGTCTTACAGTATTCAAAATGGAAATGATGAGTAAACATGTGAAGCTGCACTACACAATAAAAGGTGCTCAACACATCAAATATATTCTACCACAAGAAAAAGAATGCAACATTTGCATGTGTACCAGCATTTAATATTCCTTCCTCTAGTAGTCAACAGTAACAAAAACTTATCTTCTACCTAAGGATTACCTGCAAAATGCTTTCTCTGAACACAGCATATGAGCATACCACGACAAGGAGAATATGAGATTTTCTCAAACAAATACAACATTCAAGAAGAATTAATGTAGATACTCTACATTTTCTGCAGTGAACACAAGTTCCTCCCCCATCCACACCCCCTTTGCAATCCTAATTAGTCAATTAACTGATATTATTAATTAATCAACTATCAATATTTACATTATAGCAGGTTAGCAGACAATAGCCCCCTAATTCATTTATGCACTCTGCACTAAAATGAAAGTATTGCTCACATTTGTTAACAAATGCTACATCATAATGCATGCACTAAAGCACAAGAAATATTACAGAACCAGAGAAGATGAAGCTATGTTTTGTTGCAGTATACCTTATTTTGGTCGCTGGAATTTGCATCTGTGATGTTCATATACATAAAAGAAGCACAATGCCAGCACAACTGATTGTGAAATTTTCCATTTCTCATGCCTGCTTTTTCACTTGAATTTATACTTAAATTATCATATTGAATTTTACTTGAATTTATCATAACACACTTGAATTTATTGTAGCATGACCTGTAAGAAATCAGGCTCATAAACTGATGCCGACTTACCTATATCGGAATTTTCTTGGACTGCGTCGGCGATCCCTGGTATTGTGATAATGTGGGCAGGCATATCCTTGTCTGCAAAGTCTTGGTGGTTTTCTGCATGGTTCAGTTTTGTAACTTGACAGGACGTAGTTGGTATCTAAAAACCATTAAACAAGGAAATGTCACTAGAATGTTGCATTTCTTACAAGTTCAAGAGGTTATCAGTTGAATTTATTGTTTACTGCTACTTGTCACAAACACCAATAAAATATTCTGCACACAGGTAAATTTTGATCAAGTCAGACAACCAACACCACAGTACATGCAGTAAAATGGAATTTACTATTTACCAACCAGGACTTAATTCTGCTACAGTGAATGAGAACAACCATAAATATTTGACGGAAATCGAGAACAATATAGGAAATCCTCTCCCTCAGGCAAACTGGGGAAGATTAAAGATTAACAGCGATCAGATTTTAACCGTGAAGACAATAGCAGAATCCATAAATAATGAATAACTCTGTTAGGCCACAACTTTGTTAAACGGAAGAGAAATCTTTCACGACATTAGCGTTTATTATCTTAAAGGAAGCGAATTAGACGCCATGTTTTGAACGAAAATGAAGTTCTAACGGAGAGACGAAAGAAAATCTTATTTACAACGGGATTGTCAAGTAAAATTCTAGAGAACTACGACGCAATTAAACTCTTATCTCTGTTTGGAGGTCGTATCATAGTCTTAAAAGGTTAAACTCATTTGGCAGGCTTTAAAATGCATAACAGCGCGAAATGACAAAAACTGTATCTTTTACGGTTGTGAACAAATCACCAAGAAAGTGTAAATGAGGATACCACTTGTGTACATTGGAGCAACGTACAGTACTGCACAAACCTTGCCAGCGGGGATCTTCTAGAACAGCTTTGTTATTCTCTATTCCTGCCTGACCTACTTCAGTTTCCTCCTTTTCTATGGCTTGTAATTCTCGTATATCATAAACTGGTTGTCTCAGATCGTGAGGTCCATGGGCAAACGCACAGTGTGGACCATTTTTTACACAATATCCTCGAGTATCGGTCTCGTGAACACAGGTTGCAGTTTTGTAGTAACGAAGATGGTAGCGACGTTCCACATCGCCAGCTACACGGTGTAAGTAGGGACAACTGAAAGAGAAAAGCACCTTTATTCAGCAATTGATCGATCATACCACAAATAAACAACCATTACGTCTCAAGTCCGCAAATAAACGAGGCAGATGCAAGAAAAAATCCCTGGTACGTACTCATCACCGGACGGGCAAAGCCCTGACGTTTCATCGTACTGAGTGCAGTAAACATCAGGACTATAATTAAAAGTGCCATCCCTTTTCTTCTTCGGTCTCCTCCTTCTTTGATTCATGAAGTGCCAGTGAAAACAGGTGAAAGGTCTGTGAGCTGTACACTTGTGCTGTAGAAATAGTGGACATTGCTCGACCCGAAACTCCTTCAGGTACCTGGACGATTCGAAACGAAAAAAATTATGACAACACGTATAAGCGGAAGCAAAACACAGAAAATCACAAATACACCTACGTGTAGTGGAAAGGCTTCTCCGGCTGAGTTTGAGAAAAGGCAGCTAATTTATTTTCGGAAGAAATGATGGTACTAGGAGAAGTCATTAGAGAATCGGAAGACGACATGTTGTTTTGGGGACGTGAAAAACCAAACGCGCGCGCACCACAACATAGACAAACCAAGGCATCATGGGAGCTGTACTGAGCTAGTGATTTGATTGGTTTAAGCGTGACACGTGACTCAGTTTTCGGCTCAAGAAAAAACCGGCAAATAGGGCGAAGTATGTAAACAATGCGAAAGACCCGAGACCCAGCAAAAAATATTTTGGATGTTGATTCTATGATTGCCTGTTAAGAAGAGTGCTGAGGTAAATTTTCTTGGCTACAAACTCTTGTATCGATTTTTTTAGAGTAAGTTTTGGTAATAGCAGTCTTCTCAGACTGCTGTTATTTATCGCGTTGAAAGACAACATCAGCTGTTTCAGACAAAACACGGTATTGACCCCCTGGGACAACTGACCCCTAGCTGAACCCCAGATTGACCCGGCCCCCTCTCAGATATCAGAACAGCAGAAGAAAAGAGTTTTACAGACCGTCATAATCATTGACAACGGAATCCAGTTACTTTTCGAAAATCAAATTTCACGTGAAATCAAAATCCATATTTTACAGCGTACCAGTTTGGCTATCCTGTTCACTAGTTTGCACGAAAAACGATGACAATAAATTGTTAGCTGAAATAATCGAGTATTTAAGAGAACTGTCGTGATGGCTCTACAGTAAGTCAGTGATATTCGCTACTTGAAACAACGAGGAGAAGAAGAAACAGCGGATAACAAAGATGAATAAAAATTCAAGCAAAATTACCGGAAATCAAACCTGCATAATTTCGGCCAATTATTTATAAAATACACTTCGCAAAATCAACATACCTGTTCTGATCAACAACAGCCAAATCTGAATCATCTACTGTGAAAATATAATATAACAGCAATCTAATAAGCTGAAAGCGACACAACTACGAGGAGCACACGAGAAAATTTCAAGAAAACTCGATGTAATAGTCCTCGATCGACTACTCACCGTCCATGCACCTCAAAATATAACGTCCCACGCTGGGAAATGGGCGTAGAATTTGCGTGAGACTTATGGGTAAAAGGAGTTTCGAAAACCAACTATTTCCGGTAGCCGTGTTTTAGTTTTTACTTATTTATTTATTTTTCTGGCCTGGCAACTCTTTTTTTCTGCTGTTTCTGTGACAAAGAGGAAACCGGCATTCACGACAGAAACATGGCAAAAAATGTGCTTTCCTAGTTTCTATCAGATTCTGGAAATCGTGCTCAGAAACAAACAAAACTATGACATACAGCCTTTAAAATATCAACCGCCCCCCTCCCAGAGGAAGTAAAAGGGAGAAGATCTCTCTCTAAACAAAATTTGAAAAGATGAAGTGGACAAAAGAATAAAAACTGTCTTACGACAGTATGAGACCACAACTTAGCCAGATGTTTGCCATATTTTCAGTTAGCTTGAGCTATTCCTGAGACAGATGGGCACAATGAACAGATGTACCCAATTGCGAAATTCGAGGTTAAAATATAAATTTGTTGTTTTAAGTCCGTAGGACGGAGGACTAATGAGGTTAGAATATTGGGAAAGGTACTCAAGTCAGGAGCGAAATGTTAGTTCCTGATCGAAAACGTGGCCTTCAGACGTCAATATTTTCGTCAACTAGACACGACATACTAAAAGACCTGAAGACACGATTGATCTTCGCAGTTTCTATAGACAACTTGAACAGTTGCGAAATTATTAAAGCTTGAAAAACTGAAAATGTTCAAGCCTAAATTTTTTTCAGGCTTTAATTTCACAACTGCTTAAGTTGTGCATATAAACTGCGATGATCAATCGTGTCTTTAGGCTCGATTACCAGCCGCTGTTCGGGAAAGGATCGGAGCCCGCGCTCCTCCCGCGAACGTAGACCGGACTGGAGAAAGCGGCGGAAATCGAGCCTATCGTGTCTTCAGGTCTTTTAGTATGTCGTCATACTGTGTACAGCTGACGAAAATATTGACATCTAATTTTTCGGTGAGGTTTTCTGTTTATTATGTTTGTCCTTCAGTTTTGAGTTTGAGTAAGCTCAAACTACCCAAAACGTGAGCAGTGAAAGTCATTTTTATACATGTACTAGAAAAATTAATTCTTCGGTTAACTTTTAATCCTGGGTTAGCGTTAACCGGCCTTTGAACAACCCGACCCAGGTAACTAAGTAGACTAAGCACACAACTGTAAAATGGCCTATAAAAGAGGATCAAGATTTTTGCGGCGATAAGAGAAAAACTGTTTTTTCTTGCTGGGCATTAACTTTTACGAAGTCGCGTTTAATTGGAATTAAAACATTTTTCTTATTTAACTACATTTACATGCAATCGACAAGAGAAACAACATGAAGAGATGTAGAACACTGTACTCAGTACGACTACCAAAACATTTACATCTTGCCCCAGTTTGGCTAATTGCTCCGGCAATGGCTCAGCACTACCACTTGATGAATATCCCTTGAGTTTTGTTTCTGAACGAAAGAGAAGTTTTACTGCGCCTTTCAATAACATGCGGACTTTACAATTCAAAGCTCAACCGACAAATGCGTTTTTCGCTACCGTCAATCAAATGTTCGGCGGCTTCTCCCAGCTTCCGACTACTGCCGAGCGAGCGGTAATCAAATCGCTGAGCACAGTTCAGACAACGAAACAGTGCTCGGCAGTAGTCGGAAGCTGGGAGGAGCCACCGAACATTTGCGTTAGCGAAAAACGCATTTGTCGATTAAGCTTTGAATTTTAGAGTCCGCATGTTATTAAAAGGCGCAGGAAATAAATGCCACCAAGATTCTACGTGTGATGTTTGTATATATAATTTCGCCAGTGGAGTAAATTTTTGCGTAGAACATTTTTGCGCGCTCTTTAATTTTCTTCGCGAGAATTTATTTTTGCGCATCGTGATGAAAAACGCAAAAATCGCAAAAAAAAAAAAAAATCCAGCACGGTAACCATTGCACCAGCAGCAAGAATCTGGATGACGTCAGACTGCGCTTGCCACACGTGTGAAAACAGTGTGCACAATAGGCCATATTCGTATTCTCGGTATTGGACTGGAACTAGCTTGCAATGAAGGCTCATGCGGGGGGAATATCATTAAAAAGAGAAGAATGTTATTTACATTTGAAAACACTCCACACATTAGCCTCAGTTACAAGCTAGGTCCAGTCCACTACCGGGAATACGAATATGGCCTTTTTGATTGGCACACTCAAAGTTTATGTCACTGCGCGGTTTTCATGATTTCAAGTGCCGTTTGCAACGTGCGTTCATTGCCTAGCTGTTAGTCTGAAGTGCCAGCCGTCTGATTATATGCCAGTTTATTTGATTATGACACTAAAATTCAGTTTCTTCGAGTACCTGTTGGCAAGGCAATGACGTCTCGTTCTAAAGAAATTTCTCGCCAAGCCATGATAACCGCTGATCCGGCCGCCTCCCTTTGTACATTTCATTTCGGGGTTCACGTGGTTCCGTCTTCTTCGCACTTCTCGCTCGAGAATATCATCATTAAGCCAGTGGCTTGAAAGCAACAAGGAAGAGGTGCCTTTCAGTCTGTAGGAACAAGTTTCCTAAACCAATCAGAGTCTTAAGAGCTTCAGACATGTTAACATACTAAGTGAGTGTTTGCCAAAAGGTACGGTATTTAAATTGGGTGGAACAAAGTCAAAATTGCGCAAATTGTAATTGGCACTATAGCTGTTCACTTCTCGGAACAAATAATGTCCGCGGACAAATATCTTAGCATATATTCGCGCCAAATGGAGGCTATTGTTTACATAGGTAGTTAGTAGCGTAGCCAATCAGAGAACACCCTGCAAGCAGTGCCTTTTCTTACGGTACATATGCTTTGTACATATGCTTTCCGTCTTCTGTCCACTCAAAAAAGCGATAAAAGAGGCTCTGCTCGCAGGGTGATCAGAGAATGGCATTCGTGATAGAATGCTAGTAGATTTATACTAAACCTCCATAGAAACACTGAAAACGTTATTTTTAGTTCTTAAATAAGGAGGCTAGACATCTGAGACGCAGCTGCGATAACATATTCGTGTTTTGAAATAAACAGGAAACATGCCACAAAAGACGAGATCTACACTTACAATGGTCCCAAAACATTTCACGAGAACGTTGATGGTTTTCCCCCAAAATAGGCTCACTTAAAAAGCAAACTAGTTAATAACTTTAAAATGCGAACAATCATGGTAAAGACGGTATAAGCTAGTACATATAAAACGATCTACTGATGAGAAAAAAATACCAATATGAAATGAATATATGAAAGAAAATGAATAAATGCATAAATAAATAATAAGTTGCTGAGCTGCTCATAGTGAAAAGGGAAAAGTTATCTTACTATAAAAAGCTAAGAAATAAAAAGTTTCAATATTTTTTGGTCTGATAGACGCAAAGAACCAAATAAGAAAATGTCAACTATAGAGACTCATGGCATCGACCTCAACCATTTATTAGAAGCGATATGAAGAACAGCAGGCGGAGAAATGAGGAAAACCAGTTAACTCAAACATTAACGTGACAGTATTTCGAGGTGTAGTCCAAAGCATCTCTTGTTTCTCTTTTCATCCATAACTCTTTTAATATATTGATACTCCATAATTGCTTTGAATCGATCTTTAAATGGTTCAGACTACATAATTTTTTTTCTCTTCGAATTTTCTCAAGTGCATTTAAACTTGATCAGAACAACCACAGCTAAAAGCATAAAACAAGTCTTATAACATAGCAGTTTCTTTAGAAACTTACCCCCTTTATAACATAGCGATAGAGATGAAGAAAAAAAAAGATAAACAACTTTGATTTGGGATGATGAACTCGAAATTATCTTTAATGTGTTACGTCTATTACAGATTGATACACAAAACTCCCCCCACTGCTTTTTTGGGGGCAAGAAAATCCCATTGAAAGACTGCTTTCACTATCGCGTATTGGAAATTAAGAAGTATTTCTCTTGCTTAGTGCGAGCGAAGAAACGATCTGCTCACTGGAGCGATTTGTTAAATTGGTTCCGTCGTTGACTCGTAGTACTTTTGTTTCGTGTAGGGAGCTGAACTGCGCCATCTGTTATCTTTGGAATCTCTGCTAAATATTTTCCCTAAGCTTTTGTTTAATTTAGAGGTTTCTTTAGGGTAATCATTTAGAGTGACTGGGAGCAAAGGAAAAAGTAAGGAAAGCAGAAGTAACCAAAACGAGACTGCGGAAATTTGAAATTCTGTTCTTAAATGGTTCTGTTTCCCTGCAGTGAAAACTGTGCTGCAAAGAAGAATGGATCCCTGTCTGATGTCCCTCGGCTTTTGTAAACTATTCGGGAGGTTTTCGTTAATAAGGGAATATTAAAAACTATCGACTTATCTTTCTTACCTTTCCAATATTTTTGTTGAGCGCTGTTCGAAGTGTGTTGTTTCTTGGTGGCTGATGTTTCAGAAACTGACACTGTTACCAATTTGCTGACTAAATATAAAAGTTTCTAAACCGCTTAATTTAAGCACCGTGACAATTGAAGCCCCCAAGTTTCCGTTCATATCTGATATCCTGCTATGATTTTGGGACACTTCGGCACTTCAACTTTCTTTCTCCACAGTATTGCAGCTGGGTGAACAAAAAAAAA